GAAATTCTTCCCTCTGAGGGTGCTGAGGCACTGGAGCAGGTTGCCCAGAGAAGCTGTGGCTGCCCCATCCCTGGAAGTGTTCAAGGCTTTGAGCAACCTGGTGTAGTGGAGAGTGTCCCTGCCCATGGCAGGGGGTTTGGAACTAGGTGATCTTTGACGTCTCTTTCAACCCAAACCATTCTATGATTATCAGAGTATTGCTGGAATCAACACTTTTTGGTTTAAACTATTAAAACTTCTTGTACTACTGGAGAAAGCTGACTGCTAAGATTTATGATTTCAGTAATCTGCTCCTAGGGGACGTATCCTGGAATTGGGCAGTTAGTTGTTTTAAGAGGCCTTGTAGGGAAGTTCACATTCACTCTAAGAGGAGTGAATTATGTTCTTAGAACTATACTTCCTCTGATTTTGCTGTTAACAGCTTAAAAGGAATTTAAGGAACTTCAGTATTAAAGCAGAAAGCTTTTGAGTTCCTTCATAGAATCATAGAGTCATAGAATGGTTTGGATTGGAAGGGTCCTTTGAAGATCATCTAGTCCAACCCCACAGCCAAAAGCAGGGATGTTTTTCACTGGATCAGGTTACTCAACGCCTCATCCAACCTGACCTTGAACACTTCCAAAGATGGGCCATCCACAACTACTCTGGGCAACCTGTTCCAGTGTCCCACCACCCTCATTGTAAAAAATCTCTTCCTTATATCCAATATCAATCTACATTCTTTCAGCTTAAAACTGTTGCCCCTTCTCCTGTCACTACAGGCCTCAGTAAAAAGTCTCCCTGTGTCTTTCTCACAAGCTCCCTTTATGGAAAGGCTGCAGTAAGGTCTCCCGGGAGCCTTCTCTACTCCAGGCTGAACAACTCCAGCTCTCTCAGCCTTTCCTCATAGGAGAAGTGTTCCATCCCTCTGATGATTTTTGTGGCCCTCTGGACCTGCTCCAACGGGTCCATGTCTTTCCTGTGCCGAGGACCCCAGAGCTGGACGCAGTACTTCAGGTCAAGTCGCATAAGAGCAGAGTAGAGGGTGAGAATCACCTGCCTCGACCTGCTGTCCATGCTGCTTTTTATGCAGCCCAGGATAGGGTTGGCTTTCTGGGCTTCAGGCACTGCCCGAATTTCACTACAGCCTAGGGAGAGCTGTGTTCTAGACATGGCATGCTGTGCACTTTTCATCCAGTGCTCTTAGTGTATTGATAAACATTTAAAGTTTAATACCAGAATACAGTTCTGGCATTAAATAACTGTTTTCGCTGTTTTACTAGGAAGATAACCATGGGTTAATTCACACTGCTGACAGTATCACGAAAGTCCAACGACTGACTTGGAAATGCAGCCGAAGACATTGTTGCCCTAAGTTTGTGTTTCATCTGCATTATAATTCTTTCTGTGCTTATGGTCTCTCTAACTTTTGACTCTTTTGTAAGTGTTTTGTAGGGCATGTTTCTTGTTTTGTACTGAATTCAGTCAGCTAAAGTCCATGGATAGTTAAAACTTGTTTTAGGCATTGCTTACAGACTTGGAAACACTTTGGAAGCAAATTGCCTCTTCATTCAGAAGGCCCTCTTTCCTGGAACATTTGTCTACTAGGTCAAAATAAATGCGTTGAGAACTGAACTTGATGTAAGCATCTACCATTGGCTTGATAGATGCAGTTGGATTGACAACTGCGATTTGGCCGGAAGGAATGCTGTGGGAGTAGGGCAGCTTGCCATCAGCCATAAATGTGGTCATGAATGTCTGGTGGTCTGAGCAGAATGAAAGGACGTGATGAATCTCATAAACTGGAAAAGAAAACCAAAAGAGCCCAATTTGGCATTTAATGAACTTGCTCTCCAATCAGTTACTTCTCAGTCAATTTTGCTTACACTGGTGACATCTTGCTCCAATGGCTGAAGACAGAACTTACCTCTGAACCTTTACAGAAAATACAAGTCTACCCAAATAAGAGAACCATTCCAGGTAGCTAGTCTCAGTGCAGTTTTGATGAACATATTTAGAAGTTAACTGGAACAATAGTCTCCTTTTCAAGTTTTCTTAATTTTAAATGAGTCTTCATTCTATATACAAAGTCTTTAAAATGGTTGTGCGTTTTGGTCCTTGGAGTTACTGGCCATCTCTTTTCCCTTCTTCAGGCACATTGTCATCTATCCCAAAGTGCCATGAGACTGCAGTTTGGTCTGCAAAACTTGATTTGTGCAAATAGAACGCTTTGTAGAAGCACTAAAAAGATTTATCTGCGGATTTTTAGGAGCTGGATGATTCCTCATTTCTAAATCCTTTTCATGGTTTGTACACCATGTACACATCGATCCAGTCTTCAGAGTGTAGTTACAGTGAGTGGAAGGGGTAGAGTACTTTTTCTAAGAGGACATGGGCTGAACACAAGCTCGTTAGCTGCACTTCTTTATCATTT